ATTTTAGAAGTTTGGAACAGGATTCTCGTATTCTTTTAATCATGACACAACTCTCATCAGTTCTTTTATCTCACAACAAACTACCCCTCTCTTTTTCATTTTAAGCTCTGCACACAAACCCTTTTTGAGTTTAAGCTCACTCAGATATGGTTGTCCTCTTAGGTAGGTCTGTCGGTTCTGACATTCCATAGAGGTTTTTCTGACATACCGAATAATCTGATTATTGTCGCATCATTCCTTCATTGTTTGTGGATCTCACAATGAAAGGAAGAACAGAGTTAGTAACAACAGATGTATGAGATGAAACAAAATCAGCTTTATTAACCCAAATGCTTTTAGTCTTAGAAGATTTATTGGATGATATGATAACATACCCTTGATAATACTAATTAGAAGAACGAGAATAGTTCTTAGAAACAGTAGATTTAGGGCTGCTTGAATAACTGTTCGATTTGGAACAGTCATAGAAGCTAGTTTTACACTGTGATGGAGAACCAATTGAGCTTTGTGCACAAGAAAAGTCTTTGACTTTCTGTAAAAGCTGGTCTCTTTCAGTAGTAACTAAATCAAACTTAATTTTAAGTTCTGTTCTCATCTTCAACTCAGTCTCAAGGTCTGTCTTGAGATCAGACAATTTGCTTGTAGTATCCAGGAGTTTACCTTCTAACTCCTTCTGAAGTATTTCAAACTTTCTCTTCTGATTTATTAACTCTTTTTTCTCTTCATCTGAGCTGCTCTTTTCATTCTCAGAAGCGATGTCAAGCCACTTTTTCTTATTAGCAAGCTCTTTAGCAATAGCTGTATGTTTTTTTTATAGTATTCTTCTTATTAAGAGCAAATTGCTTCATATCATCATCTAAAGCCTTCTGCTTCAGAGCCATGTTATCTGATAATTTTTGTATTTGGCTCTGACACTCTTCTGTAATGTCTTTCTTCTCTTTATCATTCTTGGCACGTTCCAAGATGATCAGCTGCTCAAAATCAGATATTTGTTTTAATAGCATTTTGGCGTTCAGCTCGAGAGAGTTTATCTTATCTTCAAAAGATATGCGTTCAGCTCCAAACCTTTTCTCTAATTCACACATTCTTTTCTTCTCCTTTTCAAATTCCATTCTTTCAGAACTTAAACTCTTCTCAGCTTTCAGAGCTTTTTCCTTCTCTAACTCCAGTAATTTCTGTAACTCACTCAACTCACTCTCAGATTTATAAAATTTATCAGTTAAGTCCTCTGTCTCTTTACTATTCTTCCCAAAAGAATTCCTCTCAGTTTGCAGCTCTTGAAGTTTATTAAACATATCTTTATTAGCTTTACTCCAAGTTYTCAAATCATCATCATWGTCTTTCCTCACAGAACTCAGAGTTTTCTCAAGTTTATTAATCTTATTCATGAAATCATTCTCAACTCTTTCCAATGCTACTTTATGATCTTTTTGTAAATTCGCAATAAATTCCACATTAGCATGATTCTCGTAAAACATGTTAAGATATTCCTCCTTATAACTCTGTAAGCTCTTGTCCAACTCTGTAATTCTCTCTTTCAACTCCTTATTCTCTTTCTAAAGAAAATCTGTCATTAAGAAAATTAAGATTGATTAACTAAAGCATCTATGCAGTTCAAGAAAAATGATCAAAGAAATACAGACTAAAAGTATTACACAATCACTAAAAAATATTCACAATTCACAATTTCTGAAAATTCAAAACTGGTTAAGTCCGCTCAACAGTAAACCTAAACCGCTCAATGAAGAATTAAGTCAGTCAAGTCTTTTAAAACCTCTCACAACTTGATATAAATCGCACAAGGTAAACCGCTCAAGACTATGCAAGTTAAATCGCTTAAAGAAGTGATCTAAACCAGTCAAGACAACTCACTTCATGGAATAAGTCGCTCAAAACTTGTTGATATACTAAGTATAAATCGCTCACTTCATGTGCTCTAACCCGCTCAACACACAGCCTATCTCCGCTCACTACTATGGTCTTAAATCGCCTGCACATGGTTTAAGTCGGTCAAGAGGTGTGCGAGGACGAACTAAATCGCTCACTACAAGAAGAATATCGGTCAACACTAGTTCTAAATTGCTCAAACGTAGACTCCTAAACCGCTCACTGTATGAACTTAATCCGTTTATCATAGTTCCTTAATCCGATCAAGAAACAAGCTTAAATCGCTCAATATCCGCTTAACACACATGCTCTAAACCGCTCAACCACATGTTGTAAATCGCTCACCACTAAACTCCTAATCCTGTCAAGAAACAGCCTAAATCGCTCACTATACAACTTCTATCCGCTCAACACAAGCTTCTTAATCGCTCAATATGCTCTCATATCCACTTAAGCTTGCTTCTTCTCCGTTCAAGACTAAGATGTAAATCGCACAAAGCATGAAGATAATCCGCTCAACAAACAGCTTCTAAGTCGCTCACCATGTGAAGGATAAATTGCTCAACTCACTAAGTTCTAAACCGCTCAACATAATATGAAAATCGCTCAAATCATGGACTTTTTAAATCGCTCATCATGCAGGTTTAAATCGGTCACTGTACATGCTATAATCCTTTTAATCCGGTCAAAGAAGTGAAATATGAATATTCTAACAAGATTCAACCAAAAATGCCAACCAAATTTAGATCAAACTAACTCACAAACACAAAAACTTACAAAAACTTAGACAAAAATGGATCAAAATCGAACTTTTTGAAGATTTTTCATAAGAACACTAGGAACTTCAAAATTTATAAACTCTTAAAATCTTTAATATTGATGATCAAAACGCAAAATCAAAAGAATAACAATGAATCACTATGTAAAAACGTACACAACGATCACAATTTTAACAACTAAACATCCAAAAAATAAGAAATTTGAGAGAAATTTATGAAGATCAAAGATGAACTTCAAGAACATCAATGAACTTCAAGGACAATATATTGAATCTCCAGAAAATTTGTGCAATTCGTGATGATTTCTTCAATCAGATTTCCTGCAAATCAGCTCTGATACCAATTATAAGTCCCAATTAATCAATCTTCCATGAATCCTTCAAGAACATCAATGGCAGAAAATGTTTATCATGTAAGAACACTTAGAAGAAGGAGAGAGAGAAAGTCAACAATCAATCTATGGTCAAACTCTCATACGTATACTGATTTTTACAATAAGGCTTCCTCTTACAAAATTACAAAGACAACACCCTTTATATAGGGTCAAACAACTAAATAAGGTCAAAGTCAAACTATCTAATAAAAGTCAAACACGATGACTTTTATACAATTATAAACAAAATTAACTTTCAAGACGAATACAATTACACTGATTTTCAGTCCTAACAGATAGGGTAAGCGGTTACTGCATAAGCGTTTGGTAAACGGACCATAAATCTAACAAATCCTATATTAATAATAGATACAAATTTGGTCCCTATAGTTTTGAAATTACAAAATAGCCATTGTGGTTTTCAAAGACGTTCGAATTTGGTCCCTTTTTTTAACGGCCATTAAAAAGTTCCTTTGAATGAGGAACATTTTTGTTCTTTTATCTATTTCTTTCACTTTTACCCAATCAAAATCGATTTGATGATTTTGGTTCCTACGGTTTTTGATTGGGTAAATGATAAAATAATCGATAAAAGGGCAAAAATGTCTCTCATTTAATGGTCTTCAGAGAGAGCAAATCGAAATATTTTTTCCATCTTGTAATTTTGAAATTGTGAGGATGGAAAGTGTTATTTTTGACAAACGCAAGGACCAAACTTGTAGTTTGTTCTTAACACTATAAATAAATGTAAGGGGTTGTTTACCAAACACTTACCCAAGTAAGTGCTTAGTGGAAAAATTCAACACTATAACTTACTTACCAGGTAAGATTTTAGTTCACCAATATGGTATCGTATGCAACAATTTACCCGTTAAGCACTAACCGTGGTAAGAATCGTCACCCTTACTTACCGGGTAAGACTTTCGTACCTTACCTTCACTTACGAGATAAGATTCTTGGTCTTTGCCATATTCATCCGGTAAGGTAATGTGACTTGCCAAGTGTTTACCGAGGTAAACGTTTAGTAAAAGAAGAATATGGCAAAGACTAAGAATTTTTCCTGGTAAAAGCGAAGACAAAGACTGAGAGTCTTACTCAGTAAGTAAGATCGACGACTCTTACCTTGGTTAATGGTTACTAGATAAATTGTTGCATAAGATACTCTTTTGCTGGACTAAAATCTTACCCTGTAAGTAAATGATAGTGTTGAATTTTGCCGGTAAACACTTACCCGGGTAAGTGTTTGATAAACGACCCCTTAGTTTCTTCTTCTTTTGTCAAATGATCAAGGGTTAAATGCATAGAAAAGTAACAAATTTTCGTTTAATAACTTCCGTTTTACACAACTTTTACTTTTTTGTTTAACGTAGAATAGCCACTTTCTTCTTGTTTATTACATTTTAGGCAAAAATGACTTGTACTTCCCTTAAATGGTTATTTTTTGCTGATTCATCTTATTAGTAACACCAAACGTGCCTAGAGGTTTTTACGCTATTTTTGCAAACTAGCTACTTGATAACTAATCATGTTTGATAAAGAATAGGTGATAATGATGGTAATTTATAAAAACCTAAAGGAACATGTTGAAAAATATAAGGTATATAGTTGGAAAGAAAAATATGAAAAAGCTATTGAACCTCATTAAAACGTTAATTGATGTAGATTTTCGAAAAGTTGGCTTATGCTCAAACAAGATTTTTTCGATATGCTAAAAAAGTATGCAAGATTATATTTCCAAACATGGTTGTAGTCCATCAAGGAGCTCTTTTTGTCTATTTTAAATTTTGAACTTGAAGGCAAGGGGAGTGTTAATTACTTTGAGACAGATGTCACTTGATTTCACTCAAGATAATTCAAATGAAATATGTAATATGTTGGATACACTCAACTATATACATACATACATACATACATACATACAAAACATAAGTTGCAGGGATCATATAGAACAGTATGACTATGCATCTGACCATGAGATATCTAAATCTCCCCAATTCTCTTCTAATACACCTAATGCTTTCCAAACAGCTTTAGAAGCATCCACAATGTTATTAGGGCATGGGGGTTGGTAGTCATGCACTTCATCACAACCCATTGTAGAATCACACTCATCTACAACCATGGCTTTTACACTTCGTCCGTTACCATTGATCTTGATGAAATTATGACATCTATCCCCACCCTTATACCACCCTGTTGATAGTGCCACAACAGGTGTGTCATCAGAATGATATTTATGGTCGCACTCTGATGGGCCACCACCATCACCTCCCTTCTGGAAACTATTTAAAGTTAGAGTCGCCTTTGTATTGCTAGAAACACTTGGTGAACATTTGTATGTGGTGTAGAACTTCCCTTGGACACAACAATCCGAGTCATTCTCTGTGTTGCATTGTCCAGGAGGTGGTTTTTGCCCCCTTATGCCACCACTTGGCGTGCATGTTTGAGCATCAAACTTCGATGGAAAGATAACCACAAGCAAGACAAAAAGACATGTACCAATGCAAAAGTTCTTCATAATTGTTCTCCCTTTTTCTTCGAAAAGATACGAATGCTTGATGAAAAGCATGATATAAATGATTATTATTTTATAATATTTGAGTTCAGAAAACGTCAATTTTGAAATCCTGATTTTAAGGCTTTGGTGTAACAAATTCATTTCATTCAAGTTAAAAAGTTGGTATTGTTATACAATTTAATAAATAATAATATATTACTCTTAATATATATATCTAAATTACTCTTCAAAGATGACTACAAAATTTGTCCACATAAGTGGATGGTATCATAAAAAACAATAATTGGAATAAGTAATTAATTTTATTTATTCAATTATTGTTAAAAAAATATTTATTTTAAGTTTCTCTGATTGAAGTATCTTTTGGCATTACCCATGCCATGATTTTGTTTTATAGTTCCTAGTAAAACTTAAAAACAGTTTATTAAAAAAAATATATATCATGTAAATTTAGGGATCGTTTACTGAACGTTTATTTGTTAATATGGTTTCAAATGGACCTTAAATAAGAGGAAAATTTGATGTATATGAAAACAAAACATCAATAATACATTAAATGTATGAAAACAAATATTTTAACAAACATTTTTTTATACAAAAATAATGTATATGAAATGTAGGGTCCATAAGAGATGCATTTATCATAACCCTATCTCATATTTCTTGAATTATATATAAAGAGAGGGGAAGGTGCAAACGAGAACACTAAATATTTATGAAAACTAGAAAAATGTCGTTAATATACAAAATCACATGTGATTTTATATTAACGTAAAAATATGAAAGAAAACGACTTTTGAACTTGTATGATTTTGTACATGAATATGTGTGAATCATATATAATTTTGTACATTAACGACCTTTTTCTTGTTTTCTTAAATAGATACCGTTATCGTTTGAACCCAACCCTATATATTCGCTGAGAAGGAGAGTTAAGATGAGAAACTTAAAAAGAGATCTCCACCCTTAAATGCAATTAGGATCAGATCAATGGCAGATCCAGGATTTCGTCAAACGAGTGCACCTTTAAATTAGATCAAATGCCCTCAAAGCCACTTGATGTGTTTTCCGCTTTCTAGAGATTTTTTGAGTTTTTTGGTTATTTAAGGGCGACTTTTTAGTTTTTTTTGGTTGATTTAGAAAGAATTTTCCACTTTTTTTTGTTGACTTCGAGGGACTTATTCGGTTTTTTGGGTTGATTTTTGTAAAATTTCTCTATTCTAAGGATTTGATTCTCGTTGACTACACTAATTAGCATCAACGAGACAACAATTAAGATTGAGAAAATTAGAAATAAGCTAAGAAAATTTAACATCAAATTAAATGTAGGGAAAAATATAGGTTAAGAATCAAAACGTAATTACTTAAATGTAAAAACTCAAAACAGACCAATTAACTTTATAACTAATCAATTTAGGGTAAGTGATTAATATCAAATTTAGGGTTCCCAATTTTATTTATGTATCTTTCTTTTTCTAGGTAAGTGATAACAAAAAACCAATTGTCAGGTAACTTTTACTAAAAATTTCGGTTTAGTCCATTCAGTTTTAAAATATTTCAAAAAACACCCTTCCATTTTTATAACTTTCATAACAAAAGCATTTAAAAGATAAAAATAAATAACTGCGACAAGGGAGCCTCAAAATCAAGACCTCTCGGAAGAGAGGCACAACTTTACCAGATTACAACAACCATCTCACCAAATTCGATTTGTTGATGTAACTTTGGTTTCAAAATATTTAAGGGTACACTTATAATTAAGCGGGTGAACCACTTTAACATCTCATTTTTTTCTCTTGCGGTAATTGAGTGAGCGGGTGCAAAGGACCCCACTCACCTCTTAGTAGGTCCTCCCATGGATGAGTTGTACCAGGATGCACCAGATTAATACCTGTATTAAGCACGATTTATGGGTAAGTTTGAGATTAAAGGCGATCAATAGTCCGGATCCCTTCCTACTCTTCTCACTTTAACTCTATTTCTTACATGATCTTTTGCTTATGTATATATGTATATATAATATATATATACACACTAAATAACCAAAATGGCCTTGAGTTAAGGGAGTTAGTTCCAAGATGAAAAAGGAGATTGAATGGAAACCACATTGACCAAAAAAACCATTTTTAAAGACCAAGGACGAAAATAGTTATAAATAACAAACGATAGGGAAGAAAATCATAGTTTGCTCTAATTTTTAAGAGTAAATTACATTTTCGTCATGAACTTCATAGGTTTTAACTGAATTAGTCCTTGTTCCTTTATTCTATATTTTTCCCTTACATTTACAAAAAATCTTGGATTTTTGTCCCTCCACCCAACATGAAGCTATTTTTTTTGTCAAATTCAATCAAATGAGAGGTATTTTGATTATATTTTAGTTTTCCATTGAAAATATGATATTATACATATATACGTAAATACACATGCTTAAAAGCCGCTAGAAGCTACGATCTTCATCTTCAACGACCTCCATCACCATCTCCAACCACCTATTATCACCCTTCCCTTTCACACCCACTTTTACCCACAACCCTCGCAAAGTGAAACAACTTCTCTTCTCTCCAACCATCTTTGACATGAAGGTGGCAGTTCGTTCTATAACATTTCAGGCCAACTGTATCAGATGTTGTCCACTTTGTCAGTACACATGGACTCACGACAATCGTATCAGATAACACACCCGCTTTGTCCATACACTTGAACTTATGGTTCTAAAACACGTCTGATGTAGGATATATCAAGTCCCTTATAAGGAAACCTTTGTTCCCCTTCCCCAACCAAGGTGGGATCTCACCCCCTTGGGAGCCCAACGTCCTTGCTAGAACACCAGACCGTTTCCCAGCTCTGATACCATGTGTAACATCCTAAGACAATTGTATCAGATAATCTTCACTTTGTTCACACACGTGGACTCACAGTTTTAAAACATGTATGATAGAGAAGGTATCAAGTCTATTATAAGGAAATCTTTGTTCTCCTTCTTGACCAATATGGGATCTTACAGTTAGGGTAGGTGTTGGTGGTTTCTCTTAGTTCAAAACGGAGAAGGGTGCTCAACTAGGGGTGGCTTCGGAATTGGGGGGATCTTCGTCCATGAAAGTATTCCATGTCACTATGTATCTATAAATATAATGTAATTTAATGTAATCTAGTTTTAGATTTTTTTATAGTAAATGAAAAACATGATATATTGATCAAAATATCTCTCATTTAATTTGATTTAATGAACCATTTTAACAAATGTTCGTGGATTTTGAAAGACTATGATCCCCCCCCCCCCCCCCCCCCCCCCCCCCCCCCGACATCGACTCGCCCTAATGAACTAAATCTAAGATTTTTTACAACCACGAGAGAAAAATTTGGGATAAAAAATTTCTGAAGGCCAATTTCGTTTAAACCTATGAGGTTTAGGGACAAAAAAAGCAATTTACTCTATCTTTTTTTACCATTAATAACCCATCTAAAATACTATTCAACAATATTGATTAATTACAAGTAAAGTATTGATTAAAAACTAGGTTGTTGATCTCTAATAGAATCATCATATGATATCAATACAGATCTATGGTAACCGTGTAATTCAAGTGCAAATTTTACGTCGATTCTTATTCTTATGAGTTGATCTACATAAGTCCAAGTAGACATATATATCACACAAATAAGTTTAAAATAATCATAACAAAATAAACAATTAACAAAAGTTAAATCGGCTACTAAGACTTTGTGTAACAAAAAAATCAATAGGACTCAAAATGGATTACACCTCATTTCTCATCATCATTTTGATACCGAATATAATGCCACATTTTGTATCGATATGGTGTATTGTCTATTTATATTTTATTTTCAAATAAGAAAGATAAAAAAAGTCAAGAATATAAGATATATGAATCATGGATAAAGAAAATATGATTTCAAATATACATCTTCATGTGTCTAATTGAGAAAAAGGCAAGTAAACGAGCGAGACTTCACATATTCATCTCCAAACGTGGCTCCGATCTAGGTCAGGTCTCAAAGTCCATTAAGCTTGAAATTATTGGGTTAGACTCTGAAAGGCTACAAAATGTCCAATTGAACTCGGCTCGGAAAACCTAGTCGGATTTTTCAACATAAAAACTCGGTTCAACTCAACCCCAAAAAACCATGACCTTATTCATTCTAGTTCACATATGCATAAATCATTTTTTATAAAGTTTCACCAACATTTTATTTATTCATTTAAAACTTCCTTCTAACAAATTTATTAATAAATCTATAGGAAAATATACGACTGTTAATTGCGCTCGATGCGATTGCTCTCATCTCAACTCAGTTAGGCTGCGTTTGGTACCTGGGACGGGACAGGACAGGACGAAACAAAACTCATCATCTCATGTTTGGCGCAACATGAGACATAATAAGAACTCATAATCCCACGTTTGGCATGACATGGGACAGGAACAAGGTGGGATAAAAAAGGTTTTTTCTTGTTCCACCAAAATAGGCGGAACAAGATCGGAAAAGAATGTGACAGAAACTAAAATATTACTAATATACCTTAGTTTAATATATAACCTTAATATGTTATTTTTTTATAATGGTCATCACCGCTAGTTTCGGCCACCGCCACCACTATCGGCGGTCACCGACGGCCACCTCCACCCCCCCTTCCACTACAACAACATCCTCCACCGCCTCCACAACCACCGTCCACCAAATCCATTGCCACCTCTACCATAGTCGACCACCGACCACCACCGTCCATTGCCACCACCACTACCGCCGTTCGCCACCTTCAACTCCTCCTCTACTGCAACAACCTCCACCACCATCGGCCACTACCATTCATTGCCACATCACCTCCACCATAACTACCACCACCACCACTATATTCACTACATCGACCACAACTACCTCCTCCACCGTTGTCAACTGCCACCACCACCACAATTTACCATCTTCATGTCCTCTATAACCACCGTCGTCCACCAAGCACTACTGCCTCTACCTCCATA